GAGAGAGAGAGAGAGAGAGAGAGTTGTGTTTCATGAGGTACATTGTGACAGCTTGACATAGACATGCAACACTAAAGGACCAAATCTAGGTAGTTACACTTTCTATATCCTTAATCATTTTTTAAGCATTTTGATTCACAAATACTATGTCCATATCAAGAGGACAGTGTGACATTTTGATACATGCATACCATGTATACTATCTTAGTTTCTCCTCATGAAGCTATGATAAAATATCCTGACAGAAGCAACAGTGGAAAACGGGTTTATTCTAGGTCATAGTTCAGAGGTACAGTCCATAGCAGGGAAGTCATGGCTGGTGTGGAAGCAACTGGACATATCACATCCACAATCAGAGACTGCAGAGTACTGAATGCATATATGGTAATTCCAGCTCCTTCCTTCACTTGATACAGTCCAGGATCTCCTAAGATCCACAATGGACATAGGTAACACACAGCAGGGACGCTCAGAGCCGGCTGTCCCAGGAGACTCTAGATTTTGTCAAGTTAACTATTAACACTAGTCATCACATGAACTAACCAGATCAGGATTCTTTTGTTACCACTATAGTATTGGCACTTTGTCATTGGTGTGTTTGGGCTCCTCCATTTTGCCTATTTCATAAAATGTGTAAAAGGTCATTTTAAACTAGTCCCTCTCATGTGCTCTGGAACCTACACTTTATGTCTTCCATCAACCTCTTTAGGTTCCTGTTATCCAAACTCTCTCTGGCCCTCTACCCTCTTTCCAGCCTCTACTAAACACTTTTCTACATTCAGCTCAACCATCAAAACACAAGAGAGAACAAGCATTGATACTTTAGGTTCTTTCTCGTTTTCCTTCATAACATTGACTACTAACAGCCTGGTCCTGACGGGCATTCACCTGCCTCTGTGTCCTGCTGCAGATGCTCCCATACCTAAAGTGTGACTTGAAGACGAAGATGATCATGTGCACAGATATGCCCTCCCACCTCCTGATATGCACACCCCTGCCTTGGTGTATAAAACACCGGTGCCCAACATTAGCTCGGCCTACAATCCATTGCTGTGTATCTCAGTTCTTCTGATCACAGCAGAAAGCTGTTGGAGCCATGCTGCAGAAGGACATTTTCAACAGC